ACAAAAGAGTGGACAAAAGAAGTAACAAAAATACTTGCTAGTTGAAATCTATTGTTTGTGAGAAGAGGAAATATAACCAAAAGAGCTGTGAACTATTTACCAGGATACAATTTGGCAAACATCCATGCTACTTAAGTGGCTAACGTGTGACTCAGATGAAATGAACAAGTCAGTTAGCAGATGCACAGTGACAGAAAAAAAGAATTAATGGGGGGTATATCTCTCAGTAGTTAAAGATGAGGATATTAAACAGGATGGTGCCATTTAAACAAACAGCTAATGGTCTAAAACTAGCCCATCACTGTCTGCATGAACATTCTGGGTAAAAAAGCTTGCACCTTTAAAACAAATATTTCATATTTGTTTCCACTGTGAAGGACTATAAATCTAAAAGTAAAAGAGAGTGTTAGAAATCACACTTTCAGAGAGAAAGCAAATAAAATATGCAATGTCTCTATTTAGCAAGACATCATCTTTACCACAAGATTTTATAATTATATTAAATGTTCCAAAGTTGCCTATGAAATTGCACACATCACATTTTGTTTTAATTGACTGACTCACAGAGCTTGTTGAAGGTGCTCTCCTGCCAGCATTGGCTATACCTTTTGCTTGAACCTTGTGCATTTGGACAGTTATCATCTCTACTGTTTTCAATGTAGGGAAAATGTTTTGTAGGCAAGGGCATTCCCACATGTTTTTAAGTCTATAGTTTCTTTTTGAACTGAGCAGTTGATTAGGCTGTCAAAGATAAATGTTATTCTCTCTTTCAAGACAAAACATTGAGAACATTCTATGAGCAGCAGAAGAGAAGGCAGAGAATATAACAGCTTTTGGAACTGAAATGTATTCTGTAAATTAACAGTTTTGCTACTTACTAAATGAACTTTCAAAATGTAAGAAAGCAAGATAAACATGATTTCACAGTGATGCAGATGCATTTGTGGTTTTTCATATGTACTTTGCATGGAAGGCCGCGCCTATTTCATAATAATTTTGCACCATTTGACAGCTGTTATAGAAGAGATTAAGAAGATTTATCATGTCGCAAGAGTTATAGGACTATAAGAGGTGACAGGACTACAGTGTATGAAGGCTGGAATGAGCCATTTTCAACAAAGAAAACACTAGTGTTTGCTCCCAGCCCCATAGGAAGGATCTGGCCTTTTCTTAGGTACCTTTGGGGGGGGGGGTTAGGAGACGGTATGGTGGTACCACATTTCCAGCACAGCACAAAGGCTAACATTACCCAACTTGGAAAAGTGAAAAGTGATTAGAGAATTTGTAGATCATTAAGGAAGACTCTGGCAGTAGTTCCAAGCAATGCAGACAGGTTTCAGAGAAGGAGCAGCTTTAATTAATGTGCTGCATGAAACGGGAAAGCTCCTCAAACATTAATTGCTTAACACCCTATTCACATCCTACTCTGGGTAGTGTGCACAGGAGCTAATGAAGGGAAGTCATTTAACATAACATGCATTATGGTCTTCTTTGAATCCTTTACTAATCAGCACATTGGCTCCCCACGTGAAAAATACAAATTGTGTTAACATGTGTGGCATCAAGACGTCATCAGCAAGGGTGAGAGAGTTAAGAAATACATTAGTCAATCTAAGATTGACCAAAAGGATCAGGGAACATAGCTTATCTTCTTCTGAAGACCTAGATCTTTACACAGGTTAGGCAATATTACATGCGGATGAAACATCCCTTATCTAAATTTTAGTTTGAATGTCTATTACAGAAAGGCTTAATTAAAGTTGGATATTAATCATCAAAATGTGGGAAACATTTGGTTAGACAAGAAGCACTGCATCTACTGCACAGTGAGATTGTGAGGCTATGTCTATACTGGCAATTGAACGAAAAAACTTTTGTCTTTCAGAGGTGTTAACCCCTCCCCCCCACCCTGAAAGACAAAAGTTTTGCTGCAACAAGCACCAGTGTGAACAGTGCATTGTCGGCAGGAGCGCTCTTCTGCTGACAATGCAAACTCCACTAGTTGGGGGTGGACGTTTTTTGTCTGCAGGAGAGCCGACAAACGGCGCCTACACTGCATGACTTTTAGTGGCATGGTTGAAGAGACACAGCCATGTCACTAAAAGCTGTGTAGTGTAGACATAGCCTGAGGCAGACAGAATTTGCAAGCTTTCAGAAATTTGATGAGTTCACAGCTGGGTGAGTACAGGTGTGTCACATCACAAAAAGACACCATCAAAGTAGCGATCAATTCTGTGTTCAAAAAAAGGAAAGAAGAAGAAAACACAAGCACACAGACAAGCAAAAATAAGAAAAACAAACCAGTATTTCTTCAAATCTTGCATTCAGTAGCAGCTGGGTATCTAGAGTGTAAATGTAGGGCCACACTGTTACAAGGGAGTTGAATGATGTGAAACCAATTACAGAGAAACCTTCCTTAAGTCCCCACCCAAATGACTAATAAAAAAGCCGGTCTAGCTGAGGTAGTCTTTAACTACAGGTTAAATAACAACTTTACTGGAAACCCTTGGGATACTTTAAAGAGGTCTTTGAAGTTTGGAGCTTGTCTACTGAGGGAGACAACTGTCAGTATAATATCACTGTGATTTCTATACCACTTCAGACATAATCATGTCTTCCAAGTCTAGATGTGTTGGTGATATCTGTAAGCATAAATGAGTGGGCATTTCAAAACTGATTAATAATGTACAGTGATTTATCAAGAACATGCTTTAAAAAGGAGCTTTGGAGTGTGTCCACTATCATTCTTTGACAGGGTAACAAGCCTTGTGGATGTGTGGGAAGTGGTAGACGTGGTATATCTTGACTTTAGTAAAGCTTTTGATTCCATCTCGCATGACATTCTCATAAACAAACTAGGGAAATGCAACCTAGATGGAGCTACTATAAGGTGGGTGCAAAACCAGTTGGAAAACCATTCCCAGAGAGTAGTTATCAGTGGTTCACAGTCATGCTGGAAGGACATAACGAGTGGGGTCCCGCAGGTATCAGTTCTGGGTCCGGTTCTGTTCAATATTTTCATCAATAATTTAGATAATGGCATGGAGAGTACACTTATAAAGTCTGCAGATGATACCAAGCTTGGAGGGGTTACAAGTGCTTTGGAGGATAGGATTAAAATTCAAAATGATCTGGACAAACTGGAGAAATGGGCTGAAGTAAATAGGATGAAATTCAATAAGGACAAATGCAAAGTACTCCATTTAGGAAGGAACAGTCAGCTGGACACACACAAAATGGGAAATGACTGCCTAGGAAGAAAGTATCAGAGGGGTAGCCATGTTAGTCTGTATCCACAAAAAAAATGAGGAGTCCGGTGGCACCTTAAAGACTAACAGTTTTATTTGGGCATAAGCTTTTGTGGGTAAAAAAATCCACTTCTTCAGATGCATTGAGTGAAAATTTCAGATACAGGCATAAATATATACTGGCACATGAAGAGAAGGGAGTTACCTTACAAGTGGAGAACCGATGTTGAAGGCCAATTCAGGGGTGGATGTGGTTTTAAGATTTATTGAATCATAGAGAGACTGAGAGAATGACACTAGAGCCTGGTGATTAGGGCACCCACCTGAGAAAGGGGACACACAGGTTCCATTCCCTACTCCAGTTAATATTTAATTATTTATACAAAGAAAGTGGAAAAGTTTCAACAGGAAAGATTGAGACCTACTCCATAATATCTTCCTATAGCCTAGCAGTTAGGGCATTCACTTAGAAGGTGGAAGATCTAGGTTCTAGTCTTTGCCTCACGTCTGGCAGAACTGGGATTTGATCCTGGGATTCCTGGATAAGTGCTCTAATCACTGAACTATTGGGCAAAAGGGGCACACAGTATAACCACCATATTTTCCTCCTGCTTCTCCAGTGATTTTGTGAATGGTGCCTACATCTCCTTGTGAATCTAGCCCTCCCCCCCAAAAAAAAAATTTTTGGAGCCAAAATTATTTGGTGAATTCATGTTGGATTTGTGAATGGTTTTGGTCGGCATTTTTTTGGCAAATAGATTATTGGTGTGAAAAAATTCACCCAGTTCTAGTCAGAGGAAATGAACAGGTGAGGTGTTAAACCTGGTTTTAGATACATGAGTTCCTTCAGCTCTCTGGCCTGAGGAACATATTAGGGAGAACCATCTCAAGCATGAAAATGAAAACTAAGTCAAGCGGTGTGTCAACTGCAACACTGGAGTACAAAGTGATGTTGATATGCTCGGTGGAGTTAATTTTATTCCCAATTAGACCTCATTGCTGTGGGATACATGAGAAAGTTTCCCTATGGTGAGATTCATGAGCAATTTATGAGATATGCTGCTGGAGAAATAACAATGACCAACGTTTGGTACATTTTTTGTATATCATTCAGAAAGCTGCATCTTTTTTACTTTTCAAATCACTCCTGTTACCAATACATAGAAAACAGGAAGATGGAAGTGGGATTGCCACAATTACTGTTTAATTAGTGACAAATGCCAGAAAAACTCTTATTTTACTAATAAAGAATGGCTATCTATGGAAGTTATTTCTCATTTTAAATACCTAATCTGATATTATAATTCAGTACAAAGAACTAAAAGAGAAAAGATGCTGTAAACTAATCTTACCACAATCCAGGTGACAACTGTACTAGGCGGAATACTGTTGTTATTCTGCTGTCTAGTTGCTGTTGCTGAGAATGACGAAGTAGCGAAATTACATTTTCCCATTATTATTTCCAGACACTCTCTGGCAATGGTTTGTTGACTCTAATAAAGCTTCAGACAAAGCTGTCAGCAGAGGAAATGGCAGAAGCAGAGCAAGGAACAACCTTCACAACAATAAATGAATCTAAACCCTCAGTGATAGGTTGTGCATTTTCTGATAAAATTTAATGTGAGTGTTTCAGAATCTATCATAAAACTGCAGCTGAATTCCAGAGGGATAAATATATTCTATCAAGTCACGGTACTCAAGATTTTGACAAACATAAACATATTATGAGGGATTAAAGAGTTAGAACCTTACCTGCTATAGTATTGAGGAACATCAAGTATTCAAAGTTAGAAATCTCCCGTCGCTGCCAGCGCTGAGTCATGTTGGAGGACTTATAAAGCTGTCTGGGAGTGGCCAGAGATATTCTCCTGGGAATTAAATGTAAAGAATGTTTATTTTAAGAGACTCGTTAAATTTTAAAATACAGAGCAAACTTATTGGTAGGATTTACTTGACAGTGTCTCAAAGCCTTTTTATTCTGTTTAATGAAGTCAACAAAACACTACCACTCTTATTTGAGCAATGAATATTTATTATATAAAAATCTCTATATATTTTATTTTAGCAGTGCTATAGCATTGCTAAAAATGCTAAACCCTCTGAGCCTTGGTTTTCCAGTTTTAAAATAGGATAATACTATTTCCATATATCACAGGGTTATTTTGAGGATAAATACATTAAGGTGAATGAAAGATGGCTTGGAGTGCAATATATTCCAGAACCACAGATGGAGGATATTTACACACCAATGAAGTTAGTGAATCCCCTCCCTGAAGCCTGCCCATCCCTGCTTTCAACCCCAACAGGCTCCAAGAACACCAGAGACTTTATCTTATATTTACTGTAATGGGGGCAGGGTTTGTTGAGGAAAGAAAAGAGGGGGCTGTGGAAGAAGGCAGGAATTATTCCTTTTAGCTGTTGGAGTTAACCGAATTCAAAATTAAGAGTGGTGTTTGCTTGCAAAGCCTGAGAATTGAATTCAGGGCAAGCATTTATTAATTTATTGTTATTATTATTTATTATTATTATTATTATTAAACTTTTATGCTGTGGTAGCATCCACAGCCCAATTCAGGTTCAGAGCCCTATTATACAACACATTGTACAGACAGAGTTAGACACAGTCACTGTCCCAGAGTTACCAAAGTATACATTTTAGCTCCAATACACAGCCATAATAACCCCCATATTTATGACTTCCAGACTTTATTACTGAGATTCCTATCTAGTAATGAAGCTACACCTCATAAAGCTCTGTTGGTATGTCTATAGTCAGAACTCTGGTGTGGTTCCCACCGCCAGGAGAAATATGCTAGCACTCATTGCCAAAAATTGTAGTGTAGCCATGGTAGCAAAGGCAGCAGCTTGGGCTAGCCATCCAAGAACGTACTCACAGGGTCTGGACAGGTTTGTACTCAGAGCTGCTACTCCCTCCTGCTGCTGCATGTGCTACTGCAGCTACACTATTTTTAGTGCACTAGCTTGATGGGAGCTAGTGCACATATGTCTCCTCAAGCTGGGAATCACACCCCAGCTCCTAGTGGAGACACATACTCTAAATGGTATAAAACATAGCAGCCCATCAGCTTAGCAACACATACAGGTTGCCACCGTTAATAGTCAAGTCTGAAATCTCTGTCCTCCATAGGAATAATGCTAGCTGTCTAAGAGATCGCTTTGTGCTCCATGAGCATGAACGTCCACAACAGCTACATTTCAACAGAAAAATAAAAATTGTTGACTAAAAGGGGGAGATTTGAGAGTGCAGGAAACAGAACTTTCACAGCAGCTTGACCAAGTCTCTGGAACTTACTCCTACAAAAGAGTGTCTGTGTACCTCACCACTTTCAAATTTAACTCAATACTCCTTTCTTTGACTTAATTTGTCCTGAATAAGTTCTTTACATACACAGATACACACGCTCTTTCACACAGAAACAAATAAATCCTATAAACTAAGCAAGCTATGTCTCCTACAAGCTAGAAAGGAAGAATGAGATTGTTATTTCTATTCTTAAATACTTTGGAAATGCTCAGATATTACAGTTCTAAGGCCCATATTAATAACTAGGCATATGGAAATATTGTGTACATATATTTTACAAGTGAAGAATATAATTATGTATTTACAGATCTCTAAAATGAAGATATTGCTACTTGACAAAATATACCTTTTAGAAATACAGTATGATCACATTTATGATAGACCGTTTTATGGTACTGACCTCAACCTTAGCTATATTGGCCCCTGGCTTTATGGGTGTTTGTATAAGTTTATACTTAGGGACTTTTATATTACAATTTGTGACATCTAGGCCCTTTTGGACACAGTTTAGTATATGGATTCTTGACTCAAACACTAATATCTCTGCTACTGTAATGAGTCCTGCTCAGAGATTTCTCAGTCTGTAGATGGCTGAAATAATAGTCCATAATGGCTCCAAAGGAATCAGTCAGGTCTAAAGATGTTAATTTAGCTAACGTGTATTCAGGCTTATGTGTATGCTGCCCTTTTAAAGGAACAAAAGGCAAAAAACTCAAAAAATTCAGTGCTGCCAAGTCAGCAGAACATCTATTATTTATTTTATTAGGTTGAGGAGCATCCGGATCCATGAGCAATTCCTGGACAGTGTCCATGTGGAGACAGCTGAGGTAGCTGTCCCAGTACACAGGACTGCTGACACACCACTGGTGGAGGAGGAGATGGCTCAGGGTGGACACTGGCAGCTGGTTACTTCTGGCAGAGGGCAGTGCACCACCCCTGCCCCGAACCCTCCCACCGTGGTAATAGGTAACCGTTATGCTCTTCTTGATACAGCAGAAAAGGAATCACCCCCTACAGTAGAGGAGGAGAAGCCTCGTACCCCTAAGGCTGGGAGGTCTGCTGCCACCACTGCGAATAGAAACGTAGGGTAGTGGTGGTCGGAGACTCTCTTCTGAGGGGGATGGAGACACCCATCTGTCGCCCTGACATTTCATCTCGGGAGGTATGCTGCCTGCCGGGGGCCCGTATCCGAGACGTTACGGAGGCATTGTCAAGGATTATCCAGCCCACTGACCACTACCCCATGCTACTCATCCATGTGGGCACAAATGATACTGCAAGGTGTGACACTGAGTGGATCAAGAGCGACTACAGGGCTCTGGGAGTAAGGGTGAAGGAGTTTGGAGCGCAGGTGGTATTCTCTTCGATTCTTCCTGTCAAAGGTAGGGGCCCGGGCAGAGACAGGTGCATCGTGGAGGTGAATGCCTGGCTGCGAAGATGGTGTCACCAGGAGGGCTTTGGCTTCCTCCACCACGGGATGCTATTCCAGGAAGGACTGCTAGGCAGAGATGGCGTTCATCTTTCGAGGAAGGGAAAGACCCTATTTGGACACAGATTGACTAACCTAGTGAGGAGGGCTTTAAACTAGGTTCGACGGGGACAGGTGAGCAAAGCCCACAGGTAAGTGGGGAACATGGAGACCTGGGAGATGGGTCGGAAATAGGAAGGAACGTGGGCCATAATGGCAGAGAGAAAGGACAAAACTGGGAGGCAAGATCAAATCAGTATCTTAGATGCCTATATACAAATGCGAGAAGTATGGGTAATAAGCAGGAAGAACTGGAAGTGCTAATAAATAAATACAACTATGACATTGTTGGCATCACCGAAACTTGGTGGGATAACACACGATTGGAATGTTGGTGTGGATGGGTACCTTGCTCAGGAAGGATAGACAGGGAAAAAAGGGAGGAGGTGTTGCCTTATATATTAAAAATGTACACACTTGGACTGAGGTGGAGATGGACATAGGAGACGGAAGTGTTGAGAGTCTCTGGGTTAGGCTAAAAGGAGTAAAAAACAAGGGTGACGTCATGCTAGGAGTCTACTACAGGCCACCTAACCAGGTGGAAGAGGTGGATGAGGCTTTTTTTAAACAACAAACAAAATCATCCAAAGCCCAAGATTTGGTAGTGATGGGGGACTTCAACTATCCAGATATATGTTGGGAAAATAACACAGCGGGGCACAGACCATCCAATAAGTTCTTGGACTGCATTGCAGACAACTTTTTATTTCAGAGGGTTGAAAAAGCTACTATGGGAGAAGCTGTTTTAGACTTGATTTTTACAAATAGGGAGGAACTCGTTGAGAATTTGAAAGGAGAAGTCAGCTTGGGTGAAAGTGATCATGAAATCATAGAGTTCACAATTCTATGGAAGGGTAGAAGGGTGTACAGCAAAATATAGACAATGGATTTCAGGAAGGTGGATTTTGGTAAGCTCAGAGAGCTGATAGGTAAGGTCCCATGGGACTCAAAACTGAGGGGAAAAACAACTGAGGAGAGTTGGCAGTTTTTCAAAGGGACACTAAGGGCCCAAAAGCAAGCTATTCCGCTGAGTAGGTGTAATGATGCTGGTTCTGGCGGGATCCAACTGAGAGTGCCAATTCAGGATAAATTGCTTAAAGCAGGGCAGTTACAGCCCAAGGCTGGGGCTTTTCCACCTCTAAGGCAAACCAAACCAGCCAAAGAGGACTTTGGTCTCACCCCACTGGCTAACCATAAGTCACACAAGCAATTCCCTTAGACACTCCAGTTTCCCAGTATCACCACCAGTGCCACTCGTTATGGGGATGAATGGTTATGAAAACCAATACCCCAGTAAAAGAAAAAAAAGGTTCTCTCGATCCCAAAGGACCAAGCCCCAGACCCAGGTCAATATACAAATCAGATCTTACCCATAAATCATGCTGTTGCCAATCCTTTAGAATCTAAAATCTAAAGGTTTATTCATAAAAGGAAAAAGATAGAGATGAGAGCTAGAATTGGTTAAATGGAATCAATTACACACTGTAATGGCAAAGTTCTTGGTTCGGGCTTGTAGCAGTGATAGAATGAACTGCAGGTTCAAATCAAGTCTCTGGAATACATCCACAGCTGGGATGGGTCATTCAGTACTTTGTGTAGAGCTTCCGTTTGTAGCAAAGTCCCTCAGAGGTAAGAAGCAGGATTGAAGACAAGATGGAGATGAGGCATCAGCCTTTTATAGTCTTTTCCAGGTGTAAGAACACCTCTTTGTCCTTACTGTGGAAAATTACAGCAAAATGGAGTCTGGAGTCATGTGGACCAGTCCCTGCATACTTTGCTGAGTTGCAAGGCGTACTGCCTTCTCTCAATGGGTCAATTGTATAGCTGATGGTCCTTAATGGGCCATCAAGCAGACTAGGCAGAGCTAACACCAACTTGTCTGGGATGTCTCCCAGAAGCATAGCATAAGTTTGAAATACAGACAGTATAGAGCCAATATTCATAACTTCAACTACAAAATTGATACACACATGTAGACAGCATAATCATAACCAGCAAACCATAACCTTGTCTTA